TACACACACACACACACACACACACTCAGGCCACCCACTTGTTATGAATGCATGGATTGACAAATGGAAGGGAAATAATTCAACAGTTTCTTTCATTTTCAACAAGAAGGAAAAAGAATGACGGTGTCACCTATTAGAATGTTATATATAGTGTTTAGTAGAAAAACACTTGGGGTACAGCATTTGAATTAAGGATGTTAAGTATCAGGTAACTGACTAATCGAATTGTTGATGCAGTCTTGCATTGACTATTCAATTAGTTGATAGGGCACCTCCACCTTTGAAGTGTAGCAAAAGCTTTCGGGCTGTTGCTACACTTCAAAAGCAGAAGCACGAAGCATGGGATCAGCTGCAGACTCCTCTGCTGACCCACGGCTCTGTGTGGCACTGCCACTTAGAAATGCCACAACTGAGCTCCCTGTGGCATTCAGAGTGGCAGAGCCACACAGAGCAGCTGACCCCAGGCTCTGTGCAGCACTGCCGCTTTGAAGTACCACACTCTTCTCCCCACAACTTGCTGCCTCTCTCTGATGGGGGGGAGGGGGGGTGCGCGCAACTAGCTGACTATCCTGTCGACTACTCCTTCACAGACATCATTTGGATCAATCAGAGCAAGACAATACTCTTCTAGACTATGAGAACAACTAATGAAACTGCCTGCTTGTATATGCTTACATTAAAATTGCTATTACAAATACACTTAAAATGCTAGCATACTAGCAAAATATTACTTATACCTCATGACTACGATTTACATTATTTTTATATATTAAAAAACAAAGAAAATGCTCATCTGAAGAAGTGGGTTTTGCCCATGAAAGCTTGTGATACTATATATATTTTGTTAGTCTCTAAGGGCAGGACTACTCGTTTTCAATGAAAAATGTGTTACTATTTATTAATAAAAAGCAGTCCAAAGTAATTGTTTGCAATGATTAGACACAGGTTAATGCATTTTAGGTACTCATCCATGAGAGTATGAAAGTAAACTTAATGAAAATGAATTAACCCCACAATTGTTAAGAGGGTACTTGCATGAAAAACAATGCTATTAATTTACACAGGTTAAAGAGTAGGTAGAAATAAATTCAAAATCCTGACAAATTAATTTCTCAAAACATGGAAATATTTTACAGTATTAACTAAGCCATATCAAGAGCCCTCCTTTCCTTGTACATTCATCCTAAGTAACGTGAGGATGCCTGTTTTAAACCTCATAGCAGTATCAAGCAATGTTGACTGATTACAAAGACATTTCATAAAGACTGCAACTTTGAAATTGGGAAAGTGGTGACAGATGGTGGCAAAAAGGCCTGAAACAAAGCCTTGCGGGAGCAGGGCAGGCTTGGAAGATGCAGCAGCTGTATTCATATCTGCTGAGCAGCACTCCACTCAGGATGCATGGCAGGTGGAATAGTTCTGTTCCTCAAACCCATAGGATGGCAACCACTGGCTTCTGTATCTTAAAAACATAAAAACAGGCCATACTGGATCAGACCAAAGGTCCATCTAAGCCCAGTATCCTGTCTTCCAACAGTGGCCAATTCCAGATGCCCCAGAGGGAGTCAACACAACAAATAATCATCACATGATCCCCTTCCTGTGATCCATTTCCAGCCTCTGGTAAACAGAAGCAAGGGACACCACCCGTACCTATCCTGGCTAATAGCCACTGATGGACCTAACTTCCATGAATGTATCTAGTTAAAGTCCTGGTCTTCACAGCATCCTTTAGCAAGAAGTTCCACAGATGGACTGTGCACTGCGTGAAGAAAAGCTTCCTTTTGTTTTAAATCTGCTACTATTAATTTCATTTGGTGACTCCTAGTTCTTATGTTATGGAAACAAGTACATAAGTTTTCCTTATTTACTTTCTCCATACTTATGATTTTATCGAGCTCTACCATATCCTCCCCCAGTCTCCTCTTTTCTAAGCTGAGAAGTCAGTTTAATTTCTCTTTATATGCCCTCCCCCATTCCAAATCCCAAATCATTTTTGTTGCCCTTTACTGAACCTTTTCCAATGCCAATATATCTTTGAGATGAGGTGACCACACTGGAACACAGTATTCAAGATGTGGGCATACCATGAATTTATATAGTGGCAATAAGGGTGTGTCTAAACTACATGGCGCCGTCGATGGAGCCATGAAGATTAGGCTGATCGGCAGAGGGAAATGAAGCCGCGATTTAAATAATCGCGGCTTCATTTACATTTAAATGGCTGCCACGCTCTGCCAACCAGCTGATGATCAGCTGTTTGTCGGCAGATCGGGGCAGTCTGGACGCGCCGCTGTCGACAAGGAAGTCTTTGTTCACGAGGCATACCTGCGCCAGTAGACGAAGGCTTCCTTGCCAACAGCGGCGTGTCCAGACTGCCCCGAACTGCCGACAAATAGCTGATCATCAGCTGATCGGCAGAGCACGGCAGCCATTTAAATGTAAATGAAGCCGCGATTATTTAAATCATGGCTTCATTTCCCTCTGCCGATCAGCCTAATCTACATGGCTCCATCGACGGAGCCATGTAGTTTAGACACACCCTAAGATATTCTCTAGCTCTATCTTTCTCCATGGTCCCCACAAGACAATACGTTAGCATGTACTGAACCTCATGGTGCTGCATCCAACACTTCGTCTGGCTATAGACAGAACCTTGCAAATGTGTGGATATCCATTTTATATCTGCATGTATCTGTATCCACAGATATGGATGTGGCTACCCAGGGCTCATTTTTACAGATACAGATGTGGATATGAATACAAAATTTTGTATCCCTGCAGGGTTTTAGCTACACAATTTCTCTCTCCTGGAGCTTCTAAAATGGCAAGTGGATAAGCTGAGGAACAGAAAATTACAGGAAAAAAAAATCATTTAGGCTGATGTACACCTAACAGATTTAAGTGACACCTTAGCAAAAATTACATGGCATTTACATGGCTGCATAACCACATAGTACATGATGTCCTGGCAATACTGAAAAATTCAAATTCAAACACTAATGCAATAGGTTAGCACCAAATCAACAACACCACACAAGTCATAAGGGACATAATCTTAATTTCCCATCTCATTATTTTAATTTTTTTCTGATAAAGGCTTAAGTAGAAACCTGAAAATATGAATTCCTATGTTTTTCACCTGGAAGGATCCCAAATACAAGATAAGATACAACTGATACCATTGCAGCCATAAATCTGAATAATCACAAGCAGTTAGACACAGTTTATGCCTATTAAAAGAAAATACCGTAATGTCACAGTTGCCAGTTAAACAAGAATTGTTTCTGTCATCAATTCTCAGGGATCTACAAAAAGTTGCCCATGATCCAAATTTGGCTGGTACTGAATAAGACCCAAGCAATGGGATAGAATAATGATGATGTACTTGGAAAACAGCAGCACCTCTTTCAACAAGTTAATTACTCTTTACCTTTGGTTGTGTCTCAACAGTTTATTCACACTAAACAGACATCAGTGGCTGGCCCATACCAGCTTCCTCAGGTTCAGAGGGATTGGGCTATGGGGCTGTAGGAACCTCCCACTTTGCAGGGGCCCATCCTGAGTGTGTACTCAGCAATTATAGAGCCCTTAGACCAAGCCCCATGGGCTTAAGTCAGCTGGCATGGGCAGCCACAGGTTTTTAACTGCAATGTAGACATACCCTTAGGTCAGGGATAGGCAAAATTTTTGGCCCGAGGGCCACATCAGGTTTGGAAATTTTACAGAGGACAAGGTAGGAAAAGTTGAAGAAAGCTGTCTCTCTCCAGACAGCTAGGCATGGCCCACCCTCTTCTAGGGTACGTCTAGACTACATGCCTCTGTCGCCAGAGGTATGTAGATTAGGCTACCCGACATAGTAAAATGAAGCGGTGATTTAAATAATCACCGCTTCATTTAAATTTACATGGCTGCCGCGCTGAGCCGACAAACAGCTGATCCCAGGAGGCATACCTGGGTGGTCGACAAATACCTTCGATGTCGGCAGGGGAGCATCTAGACTATCGCGCTGAGCCGACAAACAGCTGATCAGCTG